AACACACTCCTCATTGCCTGAGCCAGAAGGACTCAGCCCACCAAGGCCCCCTGGTCCTAGCCCCGCCTCCTGGGACCACACAATAAGTATGCTCCCCCTTCCTCAAGGCAGCCTGTGTAGCCCCCAAAATCTTTCTTTGACCTGGTTTCTCCTGGTAGGTGTCAATCCAGGCTCCATTGCTTGGGAGCTGGGTGAATACAGGCAAGTCACTTAATCCTTCTGGGCCTCGGTATCCTCATTTAAAAAAGGGGGCGCAGGTCAAATCAGACATGTGCTGATGATAGAAACCCAGAAAGTGCTGTGCACGTGCTGCTGATTTTTCTAGTGCTGACCATCTGGGCTCCAACAGGAAGTGACCTTTTGCTCCAGGGACAAGAGTAGGAGCCCAACCTGGAGCTGGAGGATGAAAATAGCAGGGGCTGGTCAGGAAATTATAAACCCCAGAATCAGGGCAGAAAACAAAGATGGGATCTGACCCAGGAGGACTTTTATGCCAATGAGCACACTGGCAAACATGCACTGAGCACTGTGCCCCAAGCACTTTGCTGCATCATTTCACAAACACCGTACAGCAGATCCAAGAGGTAGGGCAATGGTTGTCTCCTTTAGGCAGAAGGGGAAACTGAGGCACAGAAAGACTAAGCACCTTGCCAAGTTCACACACTCTGTGCTAGAACCGACTGCCTGGCTCCATAACTCTCGACCCCGGGGTTCTATCATGATTCTGGCAGCAAGGCCAAGGTGAGGAAGCAACTGGGACAGGGGTTAGGATGGAGCCCGAGGTCCTAAGATTTTACCTAATGAGGCTTTGGGAGGCAAAGGAGCCCAGAGGGACTGGGTTTCTGGAAGGGAATGAAATGCCCAGAGCAGACGCAGAGGCATTGGAACTCAAGTTCATGGGTCAGAAGGGCACCTGCTGGGCTTAGACGCCATAAATAATTCTTAACATGTCCCGGTCCCTCTGCTAAACATAATTTGCCCTTGGTCACGACGGTAGAAGCTGAGCTGGGACATGTTTGATGCCCTTTCCCTTGGCTTCTGAACCACTATCAGGGCACCATGTCTTTGCTTAGCACTCTTACCTTCTAGGAGCTGCTCACATCCCCCCCCCAGGGAGCAGGCACAAACTTTCCTTTCCCACCCCTCACCCACTGCCCCCATGCCCCACAGGGCTTCCCTCTGCAGATCCCTGGAGCCACCTCCAGCCAGAGGCCAATGTGGGAGCTTGTGCCCACCTTCAGCAGGGTTTGAGCTGAGCAGGCTCTGGCAGGCTTTCGAAGTTCCCAGGCTTGAGCAAGCCCAGACACAGCCCACCTCCTGGGCGTGGGACAACGGGCTGTAAAGTCAGCGGTGGTTTTCAGGGCCCTGTTCAGACTCGTGGGTGGTGCTGAGCCAGATGTGTCAGGGATCAGCCTGGTGTGTCTGGGGCGAGAGAACCAGACAGACCATTCCCCAGGGACGGAAGCCAAACCGATAAATAAAGGCCCAGCACAAAAGAATACATCTTGAATTGGCAGATTTCCTGAAGAATGTGTAATATGACATTAAGCTTCGCCACCTAAGATGGAGTCGAATTTCTCCCATCATTTAGCTGCAGCTCAAAGGAGAAATATGCTAGACACCCAATGGTCCCTTTAAGACATCTGACTCAATGGTTCTCCTATCTTGGTCCACATGGAATCAAAATTCACGACATATTAACAGACCATTGTTTGCAACTGCCAAGTTTAATGTCCTAGTTGGTTTACTTTCCTCTTAAGAGGAAAGGGTAGGGTAAGGGTTACTTGGCCTGGGAACTGAAGAGTGGTCAGGATCCATCTCTGTGAACCTCAGTTTTCTCTGCTATAAAATGGTCTCTCGCCCTTGCTGGTTTGGCGCAGTGGATAGAGCGTCAGCCCGCAGACTGGAGGGTCCTGAGTTCCATCTGGTCAAGGGCACATACCTCGGTTGCAGGCTTGATCCCTGGTCCTGGTTGGGGGCCCATGCGGGAGGCAACCAATCAGTGTGTCTCTCTCACACCGACGTTTCTGTCTCTCCCTCTCCCTTCCTCTTTCTCTCAAAATCAATGAAAAGACATCCTCAGTTGAGGATTAACAAAAAAATAAGTAAATAAATAAAATGGGTCCCTATCTCAAAAACTTTATGTTTCCATCTGTCCCTTCCCCTACCATGCCTTACTCTTTCTCCACCTCCTCCCTCAGGGGATGAAAACTTGTGGGGGTGGTTACTGCCAAAGGTCACCCAGGTCCCTGATATTGCCTGGTTGTGGCCTGTTCACCTTTTAAGTCTAAACTCAGCCACATTTTGCCTGAAAATATTTTCTGGTCTTTCCCCATCACTCAGTTGGGTTGGATACCACTTCTCAGGGCCCCCACAGCATGTCCTATGTAGCTCTATTATTGCATGTTCATTTGTGTGTTGGTCTATGACTAATCTAGACCTTATATACACCATTGTTGTGTCGTTTTTGTCTCTGAAATGCCAAGGCCGGCCCTAGGTCATGTGGCTTAGCTGCTTGGAGTGTCATCCCATACACTGAAGGGTTGAAGGCTCGATTCCCAGTCAGGGCACATACCCAGGTTGTGGGTTTGATCCCTGGCTGGAATGCAAATGGAAGCAACTGATTGATGTTTCTCATATCGATGTTTCTCTCTCTCCCCCTTTCCCTTCCTCCCTCTCTCGCAATCCAATTTTTAAAAAGTGCCAAGACCTATCACGGCATCTTGGACACAATGGGTGCTCAGTAAATATTTGGCAAATAAATATGCACCTTATAGGTATATTTGAAGATTAAATTAGATAAAGAATATGAAAACAAAACTGTAAATTACTATTACATTTATTATTATTGTCCATGGATACATTTATGAATTTTATACAAACGGACATATGTATTATTATATTATTTTGTATTATATTGCATATTACATATGTAATATATACGTTAGTAATATTATTAAAATAGTAATAGGTGCCAAAGCCTAGGCAAAGAGATTTGTGTAGTCAAATGTTGAGAAAACAACCAGAAATATACATGTATATATACAACTGTGGATTCATGTCTACATTCATACCATCAATGACAAGAAATTATTATAACTCCTGGGTTGAGAATGCCAATCACATCTCTAAATTATTTTCCAAAAAAGCAGAGAGGTGCTAGCCAGGGGCTTGAATGTCACCACTGCTGCCTTTTATATGGAGAAGACTTTCTGGTTTCCAGAAGGTTTTCATACCCCTGGCTCGTACATTTGCCATGTAAATTAATCTAAGAAACCAGACAGTACAAAGGAGGGAAAATGCACCAGGCCCTTGCTTTCATGTTTCTGTCCTTTTCTCAGGGGGGAGGGAGTGCCAACAGGCTAAAAGGGTGTCCTCCGTTCTGGGAGTGGGGAAGGACCCAAGAAGGGGGCCCCGAGTGTGGGAGCAGCTGCTGAAAGTAAGGCCAAGCCAAACCTCCACGCTGCTGCCACGCCCCAAAGACGGCCTGCCACGGGCCACCAGACTTCCAGCATCAGGTGCTATCTGGTAAGTCAGCGTCCTCTCCCTTATCACCATCAGGCTCAGCCAGATCCAGGGTGCAGTGCTACACTGCACATCCCTCTTCTCAGCCCGGACAGACCTGCTCTCCCCAGCCCTGCCTGATCGCTCCTACCCTGCCCAGGTCTGCTAGGAACAGGCTCCTGCCTGCTTCCCTCCCTCCTGACCTCCCTGCCTCCTCCCCTGCCTCCTTCCTGCCTGCTTCCCTCCCTCCCTCCTCCCCTGCCTTCTTCCTGCCTGCCTTCCTGCTTTTCTGCCTTTCTTTCTTCTTTTCTTTTTTTAAAAAATATTTTTATTGATTTCAGAGAAGAAGGAAGAGGGAGAGAGATATAGAAACGTCAATAATGAGAGACAATTGATCAGCTGCCTCCTGCACGTCCCGCGCCCGCCCCCCCCCCCCCCCCCCCCCCAGGGGATGGAGCCCACCCTGCCTGCAACCCCAGGCGTTTGCCCTGCCCAGGAATTGAACTGTGACTACCTGGTTCATAGTTCAATGAGCCACCACAGCCTGGCTCTTTCTTCTTTTCTTAATAAAATTTTACTCTAGTTAATTTTTTAAATTAAATAAGTAATACATTCTAGAGGTTACAAAAACCTATTATAAATGTACAGTTAAAATTCTTCCTCTCTTGCTGGGATGGTGTTGCCCAGTGGTTAAGCATAGACCTGTGAACCAGGAGGTCATGGTTCAATTCCTGGGCAGGGCACATGCCGGGGTTGTGGGCTTGATCCCCAGGGTGTGGCACACAGGAGGTAGCCAATCAATGATTCTCTCTCATCATTGATGTTTCTATCTCTCTCTCCCTCTCCCTTCCTCTCTGAAATCAATAACAATTAAAAAAAGAATTCTCCCTCCCTTCACTAGCTCTCAGGGACTCGATGCCTTCTGTATATCCCTCCAGAGATTTTAAAAATGCACATGCTAATATGATTATATACCTCCACTTGTTTTTTGGAAATATGATAAGCCTTGTATGGTGATACTTAGTGTTCTGTTCCTCATTTTCCTCAATGAATAGATCTTGGAGATCTTTCCAGGTCAGAACTGGAAGAGCTTCCTCTGTCTTTTTCATGGCTGTGTAGTTTTCCAATTCATAGCTTGTTTTAGTCAGCCCTGAACTGGTGGACATTTACAACCAACGCTGCAACGGAAAACCTTGACAGCTGTCACTTCCCCTCTGTCATCTGTTCTTAGGCGTGGAGTCGCTGGGCCGTTTTAATAGCTATTGCCAAACTGCCCGTCATGGGAGTTGTAGCAATTTACATTCTCTCCAAGAACATAAGAGAAGGAACAGAGTTGTAAAACTTTAAAATAGGAGTAATTCTACCACAGATAGCCATTTATTAAGCGCCCGCTCTAGGCCAGGCACTTTACACTTATCACCTCATTTAATCCCCGCCACAACCTTTAATGTCGGTCCGTTGTCAGGGGGACCCCAAGATTCACAGATGACTATTACCTTTGGCGTCACCATAACCCTTCTTGCTACTCGTGGTCTCTCATCTCAAAGCCAGGAAGTCGATGCTCACTCTGATCCTCACCAGAACACTCGCAGGCTGCTTGCCCTGAGCGCTTCATGATGCCAGGCACGCTGCCTCGCCCAGGCCTCCCAGCAGCCTGGTGACTCAGGCTCTGTCACAATCTCAGGAATGGGAAAGCGAGAGGCAGGAGCGGTAACAAGCCCTCGGCTCAGGGTGACACGGCGTGTGGGCAGCTGTCCCAGGATTTGGACCCAGAGAGTCTGACGACACAAATCCAGACCGTTCGCAGCACTGAGATCAAAAGTTCCGTGGATGGACGCAGTGAGGGTAGCAAGACAGCGTGAATGCCGCTGACCTGGGCGTGCACTTCAAAATGGTGAAAATGGTGACTTTTATGTGCTGTATATGTTACCGCAATTTTTTAAAAAAGGGAACATGCTAATGCGTGTTTTGAAGAGTTGGGAGGCGAGAGGCCTCGCTTGTCAAGGCTCGGCACAGGCCTTGCCCGGAGAAGGTGCTTCCAACGGAAGCATTGCTCATGACTCTGGTTAGTAGCACCTGCTGTGTGTCTGCCGTGGAGCCGTCCCAGGTGGGACTTTAGCCTCAAGCGGGGAAAGTCACCTCGTGTGTGTGAGGAACAAATGAGCTCTTCTGTGTGAAAATGCTTGGTAAACTCAAAAAGAAAAAATCGAGAAGTGATGGATCAAAGAGTTACCAGCACATTTCACAGAGAGCGGAGCTTTTTGTCTGTCTCCTCTTAGCACTTGTATTTACCCCATCACAACGCTGTGGCCAGGGGAGGGGGGTAACTTCCGCAGGCCCCCCTCCCTCCCCAGACTGGAATCTGGGGCAGAAACTCTCTTCCTTGTGTGCATTCCAGCGCCCAGCCCGGAGCCTGCACCCAGAGGTGCCTTGCCCACTCTTGCTGACTCAGCTGAACGTGGGCGCCTTGGAGCAGCCCTCCAGACCCTTTTAGCCAGAGACCTCCTTCGGGGACAGAGGCAAGATGTCCAGTCCTGCTTTATGAGCGGGCTCTCCCCTGGGCCAGTGTCTCCCGCTGAGGGTGCAGTCGCCCATCTCCGTGCAAACACTGCATCTGCTGACCAGCAGGCACTGCCTGTGGGGCGGGAAGGGAAGTCAAGTTCAGGGTGAGGGGAGGGAGGCTCCCGGGCCTCCCAGGGAGAGGTGGCCTCAGGACAGGGCCGCCTCCTTGTTTGTGACGGTTTTCATTACTTGTTTGAACTCCTGTGGAGTGGATGTTTCTCAGGCATATTTGGGGATCTAATTCTGGAGTCCTTAAGCACAGAAGAATGTGATAAAATGCCTGCCCCTGGACGTGGCTGCCTCGGCTGTCTGTGCACAGCCTTTGCAGACGGCTGGGGGTGGGGGGGCCTCAAGAGGGTGAGTGACCTGCCCGGGGCCCCCCTGGAAGCGTCAGAACCAGGACAAAGGCTCACAGTTCTTGCCCAGAACTGACTACAACCCTCTGCTGACTGAAAAGGCTGGTGTTCAGGTAAACTGAGGAACAAAGGCAGCCTCTCAGGGCAGGCAGGCAGTTTTCATATTAAAACAGCAAGGTGTTCGCCCAATATCCTCTACACCACCAACCTTTGAACTGAATTAGTCCTCCAAATACCAGACCAGAAAAATCACTTATTCGTCATTCTTCCTTTTGACTCCTCATAACTCCTCAGCGTGTCCTACGGAAGGGAGTGTGGGTGAGCCACGGGGAAGAGGAAGAAAAGATGATGAGGTAGCAGAGGCCTCCTTACTCATCACATGCCAGGGAGCAGCTGCCTCAGGCTGTCTCCGTGGCCAACAGCACTTGCTCCTCGAGGAAGGAAAGACAATGGCTGCCTCAGTGTTTCCCCTGCCTGTGCCCAATATGCCAGCAGCTGGGTGTTTCTTCCCGTCGGACTTGGTGGTGGTCGCCGTGGGGCTGGGGGTTCATGTGAGACCGACATCCTGATCTGAGGCATGAGGAGGCTCCAGTGATGGCGAACCTATGACACGCGACTCATTTTTTTGGTTGATTTTTCGTTGTTAAATGGCATTTAAATATATAAAATAAATATCAAAAATATAAGTCTTTGTTTTACTATGGTTGCAAATATCAAAAAATTTCTATATGTGACACGGCGCCAGAGTTAAGTTAGGGTTTTTCAAAACGCTGACTCGCCGAGCTCCAAAGGTTCGCCATCACCGGGTTAGGCAGTTTGTTCTAGGGCCGGAGGCAAACCGTGAAGTTTTGTCTCACACAGAGTTCAGGCTCCTCCCTGCTTCTAGAAGATTCCACCAGGCCAGGAAGCCATCAGTCTGGGGGTCAAGTGAAGGGAGGCAGCTCCGGGACACGCCCCAGAGCAGTTTCTGGTCAGGCATTCCTGGCAGCAGGGCCACCTCGGCCTCCCACGCCTGGTCCGTGATGAAAGCTGATGGGCAAGGCTGCCGAATGCCGGGGCAGGGAGCCACCCAGCGTGGCTTCGGGGCACCGAGAGGTCTCCCTGCTAAAAATACCTCTCCCCCCTTCCTGCTGTGGAAGCTGGAATGGTCACGTGGGAGTGCTACTCCCTTAGTTTGAGGCTTTATATTCTTAGTAGATCTGATTTAAAAATTAAATAGCACTGTGTGCAGAATAAACTGAGGCATGACCACACCATGACGCCTTACTTGGCATTTATTTATATCCATGTGTAAATCCAAGGAAGAATTTGAGAGTCTCACAAGTTTATTTCTCAGAGTAGCCAGCTGAGGCCACCAGATCTTGCTCTGGCAAATCTGTGGGGCCGAGAGAGAGAGCATGAGCTCTCTGCCTTGGACATTTCATTCATCTACTCAAAATGCTCCAGTAGCTCTGACTGTACTTTAAATAGAGCCCTCACCCATACATTCATCATCTTGCTCACTGAACTCCCACCTCAGTCAAATGCTCTGAGCTCTCCCTGCTCTGGGACCTCCTGCAAGCTGCCTCTTTTGCTGGCTGACCTTTTCCCTCTGTCCCTGGCTCCTCTCTGTCCTTCAGGCCTCGGCTTGAAATGCCACCACTTAGGTGGCCCCCTGACAATGGTAGCTAAGGTAAGTATCCCCTCTTTCAAACTGTTCTTTTCCTTTACAGTCTTACTATTTGCGCACGCGCGTGCGTGCGTGCGTGTGTGTGTGTGTGTGTGTGTGTGTGGTCAACCCTCACTATTTATAGATTCTGTGAGTTTGCCTACACCCTAAACTTATTTGTAGCCCCCCAAATCAGTACTCCCAGTGCTTTTGAGGTCATGTGTGGACACGCACAAAAGGTGAAACATTTGAGTCACACAACGCCCACGTTGGCAGCTGAGGTCCAACAGGGTGACACTCTGCTTCTTGTTCAGCTCTCAAGCTCCATACAAGTGTCCTTTTCACGGTCAATTTTGTACCATGTTTTCATTTGGGGGCTTTTGGTTGGTGGTTTTGCTGTTTGGAATGGCCCCCCAGTGTAGTGCTAAAGTGCTACCTTGTGTTCCCAGGCTCAAGAAGGCTGGGAGGTGTCCTGTGGAGAAGAGATTCATTCAGGCATGAGTTGTACTGCGGTTGGCCATGAGTGCAACAATAATGAATCACTGTATATTTAAAAAGGTGTATTTAAACAGAAGTACACATGAAATAAGATCATGTATGGATTGGTTGATGAAAATGCTGTGACTGGATCCTCGTAGGAACCTAACCCTATATTTCCCCTAGAAGCAATGGTGCCATATTCACCAACACAATGCTTATGGTAACTTTATAAAACATAATTTCCATAAACAATAAGAATGAATTGTATTTTTACCGGTTTCTCAGAGCTGCTGCAACAAGTACCACAACCTGAGTAGCTTAAAACAACAGAATTTTATTCTCACAGTTCTGGAGGCTGGAAGTCCAAAATCAGGGTGTCAGCAGGGTTCGCTTCCTCCAATAGTGCTAGAGGAGAACCCTTCCCTTGCCTCTCCCTAGTTTCCGGTGGTTTTCGGACAGTCCTTGGTGCTCCCTGGCCCACAGCTGCATCTCTGCCTAAGTCATCAAAGGGCATTCTCTCACACGTGACTCTGTCTCTGTGTCTCTTCACTCTTCTTGTAAGGACACCAGTCATATTGGATTTAGGGCACAGCCTACTTGAATATGATTTCATCTTAACTAATTCCATCTGCCAAGACTCTATTTCCAAATTAGATCACATTCTGAAGTTCTGGGAAGGACATGAATTTGGGGGAGAGGACTCTACTTAACCCAGATATACATTTATTTTACCTATTTATAATTCAAAAATATATGCATTTAGTCAATATCTATATTAAAGTACTTAATTAATCAATATATTAACTAATGTGCATATTTAATCAATATCTATTTCCCCAAATAGATTACAAACTCCACAAGGAAGGACAATGAAGTTCTTGTTTGTCTTTTTTAAAAATATTTTTTTATTGATTTCAGAGAGCAAGGAAGAGGGAGGAAGAGAGAGATAGAAACATCAATGGTGAGAGAGAATCATTGATCAACAGCCTCCTGCACACCTCCTACTAGGGATCGAGCCCTCAATCTGGGCAGGTGCCCTGACCGGGAATCGAACTGCAACCTCCTAATTCATAGGTCGATGCTCAAACACTGAGCAACACTAGCCAGGCCTTATTTGTCTTTTTACCTTCAACACCAAGCCCAGCCTGATCCATTGTAGGAGTTCAGTAAATATTTGTGGAAGATGAATGGATAAATGAATGAATGATTTCAAAGCCAGCAATGAGCGAACTATCATGGAGCCTCGACTCCTGGACAGCCATCATCTATCAGGCCAGGCGGAGAAAGAGGCCAAATGGGTGGGCGTCCATCTCCACCTCCCTCCCCACTTCACGTCAACCAGTTTCCCTGCTTGTATCTGTTTTATAAACTCTGCTTCTACGCAATGTTATTTTTATAAAAGAACGTGTTAAATGAGTTTGGAAAGTGTGAGAAAAAAAAACTTAAGCCTATTATATAGATGAGGAAACCTAGGTCCAAAGACATGAAGGGCTTTGCCCTGGGTCCTCAGGCAGTCAATCCAGAGACAGGACCAGGGGGCTGGTCTTTGAGCCCTGTCTCACAAGTTTTGACTGGACACTCACTCTCCTGCCAAGACATACACAGGGAGTACTTTGGAATTTACCCTCCCTGGAACTCTGTTTTTCTATCTGGAGCAACTTCTGGGAGAAGGAAACAGAGCCTGTGGCATGTGCCCCTTCCCCAAGGCTCTGAAAGGCCCTTTGTGCCAAGTTCATGGACATTCCACAGGCCTGCCCTAGACAAATCCATCTGCCAGCGGGTCACAATTCTTGCCTTCATCTCTGAGCCGAGGTATTTTGGCCTTTCTGCTTTTAAATGCACCCTTTGCTTTTTTGGAAGCTGAAGCCAAGCAAAGGAGGCCGGGCTCGTTAGCCCCAAGGCAGATGGGGTGGGGTGGGCCACTGAGGAGAGGGCTCTGTTTTGCAGACCTGGCTTGAGAAGAAAACGGGACTGATTATCTCCCAGGCCCAGCTGCAGAAATGCCTTAGCTCGGCAGCAGATTATAAATAGCCCTGAGTGCACTCCCAGCTGCTTGAAAACAGGATTTTTCCCCCTGTGCTAGAAGAACAGCTCTTTACTGCCATCCTGGG